AAACGTTGACCTTATCCTGAAGTCCATGCGCCACGAGTTGATCCTGGATATACTTGGCCGCCTGATCGCATTGCTGGATCTGCGCTTTGAATGAGGGGTCGTTGATGCCAAACCGGTGGCCTACCACATCTAGGTTGTCAAAATAAGCCATGATGAAGTTGGCCGGTGCCGTGGAATTCAAGAACCATGAGATGACTGTATCTGCTCGTTTGGTCCAATTAAAGGACATGTCGTAGGTTTGCACATGGGTTGGTTTCACTCCCTGGTATGGAAATTCCCCTCCCGGCCACATCATAGAACCACTATGTCGTCCATTTCCTGCTTTTTCGTTCAGCGTCTAACAAACATTCAAATCATTCATAAATCCTTCAAAAATATGCAAAAAGCACTAGTAAATTGACATTTTAAGATATTTTAAAAAATTATAAGGTATTTGTATATTCAGTGGTAAAGTTGGTTTGGGTATAAATTGTTAATGAAACGATACCCCGGTAAGGTGCCTATCTGAAACTTTGTCTGGAGGCACAAAAAAGGCACCGTGAAAAATTGGTCCGTTTCATGTCTAGGGAGGATGGGGTACTTATCCTTATAAGGCAGTAACCTTTTTTTTCAAAATAAATAATTTTCCTCGTACCGTTAGGCAATTAAATGGATAATGCACCATTGAAAAAGCATGCTTTCGGGAAGGGAGCAGCTAGGATGCACATTTTTCTCAAGAGGTAAAACTACTGAAAATCTGAAATCTTGATATTCGGTAGTTTAAACTACATAACGCGTGGTCCTTGTGCTGCACTCCTTCGGAAACTAGCCCCCACGGAAGGCGCGAAATCTATCTGTCTGAGAGTGGACAGGGCTAAGTGTTGTAGGTTTGCATGGAAAAATACATGAATGAATACATTTTGAAGGAAAGTTGCAAAATACCTACCCATATGGGCACAACGTCTTCATTATAATCGAATAGCGCGTTGGAATATTTATGAGATCGATTGTTGTAAAACACAGAGTTAGCAAGAACTCCATGATCCTCAGCGTAAACGCCAGTTGCTATCGAAAAATGAACTGGCAAAGTTTTTGTCGGAAAAATGTTCTTCATATATTTCGTTCGAACTCCAAGCTGGGACAAGGCGAACAAATTTGGGGTGGCACTCTTATTGACGAAATCATGCCTTAAAGAATCAAATGAAACCACTAGAACTAGAGGGTGTTTAGAGACACTTAAAACTATTTTCAGAAACGAGTAAAAGACTATGAGGACGATTGGAAACATTCTGGGAAAGCCACTTCATGAAAACTGGAACAGATTGTGAGCGGGATAGATCAACCGTTCATTTGCTGATCAATCGCTTGACTCTACGTAGATACTACTTAACCTCGACGCAAATCTAGACTATAAACGTGTTTCTTTAAATTCGCGAAGATAAGGTCGTTGTGATGGATTGGAAGTAATGATGTTGTCCGAAAAATTTCCTTCGATTCGTGAAGTAGGCAAGAAAAAAACATCTGCAAAAGCTGTAGTTATCCATCCGAGTTTTTCAACGTCTCGCGGCGCGTGTTGTGCCTGTTGCAAATAAAATCTACGAATATTAAACCTGTGCCAACTGCAGAGAAAGGCTTTCGAAAAACTTTACGGACACAGTCTTCATATGAAATATTCGGTGCCACTTTTATTGAGCCAATCGTGTCAGAAAGAATCAAATGAAACCACTGGAGCAAGGGATACTTCAAATTTTATCCGGCTGCATCCCCAAAATTTTTGAATTTTATGGGAGAGACGGGGTCGGGGTCCGTTAAGTGTTACGTAATTATAATAGGGCAGTCCGGGGTTGCGTCATGAAGCGCTGCAATGGAGAAGGGGGACCAACCATGTCGAAAAATTGCTTCACGCAATTTATGATCGCTCTCTTATATTTCATGTTTACATATTCAACGAAAAACTGCGTTCGCTTGGTAAGAGTTGAACTTAACATTTTTTCCTCACATTTTTGGGCCGTCCCAAAATTACGTATCGCCTTTTTTCGGAATTTTGTAACCCCCCTCCCCCACTCCCTCCCTCTTTGTAACGATTTTATAAGGTAGGTCCCTATCCTTTAAAAACAAGATGGTGTAACGCTCTCCCTCCCTTAGTGTTATGAAATTTAGGGACGGCCCCTTTCTTGGTCTTAGGGGAATACCTCGTCGACATTCTAACTATATTATTTGTGATTAGGTGAGGATTCGGCCGGTCGGATTTTTCGTGGGGATTCGGCCGGTTTCTGATTTATTATTCAGA